GATTTTCCCAAGAAAGGTTATTGTTGATAGAAATACCAAGCATCGAAATGGATGTCTTCAAAGGTATATGGTTACTCCTGACAAGCTTATTATATTGGGCACAGTGAGACCGGCTTTTCTAGAGAAAAGGCATGCTTGTGCTTTGTATGCATTGAAATCTAAACCTTCATGGGCCGTACTTATCGCAATTCTCAGCCCGAGTGACAGCCTTAAACCTAGCCTCATGCGATCCTGCAAAAAAGTCAATTTCTCGAAATTTTGCTTCGCTTTGGAGATACTGACAATAGTAAATTGTTTTATTAGGATCAAAAGTGGCTTTTTTTTTGCAAAATTTGCAAGTCAAACAAAGTCACTTCAGATTCCAATGAAACATGCTATTTTTTCTGCAACCGAAACAATTAGTCCAAATAAATATGTGAAGTAACCACCAATACCGTGCCATATGTATGCAATACAACAGATAATCTGTGTGTTGAGAATATTCTACCTGCATTAACAGCAGGTTTATTCAATTTTCAAGGATGTTCGACTTGTAGAATATAAATATAACCACAGAGTTACATATTTGTGTATGGACCAGGTGCTCTAATGGAAAATACCGCGCCAGTGCCAGCTATAGGAACAAGACGTAGAAAATGTTAGGTTAGTGATCATATCAACAATAATAATAGCGATGATTTATTTCTCTCCATACTCTACTGTGTTTGGCTTGATAATCAAAAGAAGGTGAACAATATCGTTGTTTGAGATTAAAAAAACTATTTTGCTTGCCGTGATTATTCAAAAACAAGTTATCCATCCCGAGAATAACGAATTGAATACAGATCACGCAAGTATTTGAATTTTGAAGGCTTTCTTGATGAAAACAACAATGATTTACTATAATGAGGTGTATTTATATCTCCAGCATGGGTATAAAATGTCGAATCAATGTTGCATGATTATTTTTATTTTATTCCCAAAGAGCAAGACGAAAAGGCTTCATCAATGATGAAGTCCCAGCACAGATATTTTTTCCAATGGTGCCATTCGATAGCTCACCTCGAGCCTTCTCAAACTTCTAAATTCATGTATTTTTTTCAATGACACCCTGTATACTCTTCAAGAAAAAATGTCTGTTCGAGTCGTTCTTACTCGCAAAGGTTGGGAAAGTTCGGGTCTAATGAACGAGTCCCTGTTCTGTGATAGCTTTGGATTTTTACAGAGATTTATGGAGGAGAGAAGACGGTAAATTAAGTTAGCCTGCGAACTTCCTAGCAGCAGCGGATTCAGAAAATTGAGCTTGCTGGTCAGCTGTCGGACTACTAAAGGGACACTCTAAATTCAGCTGAATCGAGTTTTTGTTCGTTATTTCGGATTAGGTTGTTCAAGAGGCATACAAGAGACAAGCAAGAGGCATAGAATAAACTGTAACTACCAAACACCACACCGATAAATTAGCTTGAACATTTCACACCTATACAGTGTGACCCACTTCTAATGGAAACACCCCTGTAGCTTATGTAACCGCTGGAGCGAGAGATATACAAAAACTGTACCTACTCTATGACCAAGTGGGTCGTCTTCAGTTATAAACAGTGCTCGCCAACAGCCATATGGAACCATGCAGGCTATGGTGAAACACGCACGCTGGTTAGAAAAAATTATTTTTCAGTTTTCAATAAAAAATCACACCAAATCTGTTCTATAACATTTGGAGGTTTCACAGGGGAGCAAATGTAGATTGACATCCTTGGCTGATGAATTCCTAGGCTCGCTACGCTCGGCTTTGAACTATCAGCCGCGGCAGTGAATCTGCTGTCTAGTGAAAAAAATATCAATTATTATTCCAAATTTTTTGAGATTTTCTCTCCTCGGTTCTATAAAATAAAAATATGAATATTATTTCAATATACGTGTAGTAAGGACAAATCAGATGATTTGCCCCAAAATGTCACTGCGTTTAAGGAATTTTTCTATCAGAGAGCCTAAAAAAAAAATTCACTAGCTTGTCAGTGACAATTTGTATTGAAAATATTTTTGGAGAAGAGAAATAAAGGTATATAGAGAAAATATCAAATTTTCACTTATCTTTGGACGTTTCGGGACCGGTTCTGCCATATGTTGTCCGTCTTCAGTAAGGATATGTTCAGCTAGTTTCGATTTATCGATGTTCCTTCTCTTTATATTGTACTTATGTTCCTTCGTCCTTACTGAAAGAGGTCTCTTGGTTTCACCTGTATAAAACTTTCCACAAACACAAGGTATACTGTAAATACAATTTTTTGACGATTGTTCTTCATTTTTCGGCTTTGTTCGAGTTAGAATTGATCACATTGTGTTCAAAACTGAAAATACAATGAGATCAATTCTAACTCAAACAAAGCCGAAAAATGAAGAACAATCGTCAAAAAAAATTATTTACAGTATACCTTGTGTTTGTGGAAAGTTTTATACAGGTGAAACCAAGAGACCTCTTTCAGTAAGGACGAAGGAACATAAGTACAATATAAAGAAAAGAAACATCGATTAATCGAAACTAGCTGGACATACCTATCCTTACTGAAGACGGACAACATATGGCAGAGTGGAATAATATTAAAATCATTGGAAAAGAAGATAACAACCAGAAGAGAAAAATTAAGGAATCTGCTTGCATTCTTCTGAACGGAGACGATAGCATTGCTTCTTGTTCAGTTGATATAGACAGAACATGGTATTCACTACTAAAATCTGAACATGGAAATGGTAAATTCAAGATTAATTAATGAAAACATCCTGTAACTCATTTGATTGCCAACGTCACCAATTGTCATTGAAAACTGAAAAGCTTCAAGACATATTATATTATACGACTTCGCTATTGAAATAATCTCTTTTCATGTTGAAAACGGGAGCAGCACCGGTCCCGAAACGTCCAAAGATAAGTGAAAATTTGATATTCTCTCTATATAGGTACCTTTATTTCTCTTCTCCAAAAATTTTTTCAAATATAATACCACAAGTGATAATATTTTGCCGGAAATATTCGGTGATTGTTACGACAGCTTGTTGCCTAGTAATTTCGTGAATGACATTGTTATCAAAACTACGAGCCGTAGGCGAGAAGTTTTGGATTAATGTCATGAGCGAAATAAGAGCAGCATGCTGGAGTATGTCAATCGACGAATATTTCCAGGAAAAATAGTATCACGAGTTGTATTCGCATGACTATTTCATGATTGAATGAGACAATATATATAAGAAATAGGAAACATAATTTAAGTATATTCAAACTCAAACTGCGAAGAAGAACATAATGATAGTAATGAAATACAGAATTCAATTTTTTAGAAATTAACTACCTACTTATAGTTATTCACAAATTGGAATGTACAATTTTGATGAACAGTATTTTGTTTATTATCTTGGAGATGGTTGCTCTCAAAAGAGAGTATACCTACATTTGCTATCCAATTCGAACAAAATAAATTGAATTTATGTGACATGAAATAATTTAAAAAAAAATTATTGTCGCCGACGGGCTTGAACCACCGACCTTCGTATCACCGCGCAACAACCCTATCAGTTGAGCCACATCACCTGGATCATATTAGTCACAATAACTTGAGTGACTGAAGAAGATTACTTTAAAAATGAATTTGAATTCTAGTATTGTTGTCAGACCGTCAACAAATATGCAAACTTATTAAATTACACATGAAACGTCCAGCCAGAATGACATTGTCTCGCCTTTCGTACAAAATGTCTCACTAACGCGAATTATAAGTAGGTACATAAATGAAGTAGGTACTTAGGTTATTGTCTCTTGTGTCAGATTTGAATACAATGCAATCTTGACCAGACACGGTGTCAAAATTTTATCGCTGATAAACGAGGTTTGTTGGTCACGTGTGGGTCAATTCGGCTTCTCTATTGGTAGAGCAAGTCCGATAAAATTTAATAAACAAAAAATATCGCTAGAATACAGAAGAAACCGTGAAAATGGTCGATTCTGATTGGTTCTCGAGATCAAGAGTGGAATAGTCAATACAAATTGTCACTGACAAGCTAGTGAATTTTTCTTGTAGGCTCTCTGATAGGAAAATTCTTTAAACGCTATGACACTTTGGGGCAAATCATCTAATTTGTCCTTACTACACGTATATTGAAATAATATTCACATTTTTATTTCATAGAAACGAGGAGAGAAAATCCCAAAAAATTTGGAATACCTAATGAATGTACCATACCTCCTCGATTAACCTACAGACTTACAGACAGTAAATAAAAATTACATTCAACTTAAGATGACGACGAATTCAATCCATAAGTTCATAAGTACCTTGTGAAAAAATATATATCTACCAACTTCACGTAAATTAATTTGTGAAAAACTGATAGATTGCGCTATACTATCGACTTATTTTTCATTATTTCATTCAATTTATCTAACCCAATAATATCACGTGAGCAAATTTCAATGTTCGTACTAAATATAGTATACTTCGAGTTTCTTATCGTGTGTTTTATCGGGAATACAAATAATCATCGATTCTACCAACCTTGATTTTCTCATATAGGGTGCGACATCTAGCATCGAGTAAGAGAAGTATTCCCACTGGTTTCTTTCAAGAGACCCCTGTTTCTCTCACACTCGTTCAGTGACTGTGACCTCATTCTGATCATTTGCGTTTTGTGATCATGACGCACTCTTGTTACATCTGATTCCAATAGATGTCACTGTACAAATTCATCTTCGAAATGGAAACTCAATTATCAGAGTTTTATTAATTAGTGATAAACACTGTCAAATCAAAACGAACTTACACTATTTATTGACTATTTCTGTATTTTTTGGTCGAGATTGTTGTTATTTGGTCCGATTGTCATTAAAAATATGACATCAGAGCCTCTTACGGATTTTCTATGAAATAGAGCGTTATAAAAGTGCAAATAAAAGTGTCTTCAGTTTTTGACCAATGTGACATTTGACCATGGCATCCATGGCTTCAGTCAGATGTCACATCAGAGTGGTCAGGATTTGACATTTGACTCATGTCACAATTGTCAGAAAATTGAAAATTGTGAATTAGGTCTATGGATTCTTACTATTTTGATTTATTAATTTTCAATGATTCAAAACAACTACTACAGCAGATAGAGGAAACCACAATATAACATTGTTTAATCGGCGAACCACACAAAAAACCGTATCCTTTATTAAATATGCTGTCAGGATAGAAGAGAAAATAATCTTGAAAATAATCTTCTGGTGGTAAGTTGAGTAGGTATGTATTATCCCTGGTATCTATAGTGTCTAAATAATGTACTCACCATCAATAAAAGAGATCAGTTGAACCATAATATACTGTTCGTTCTATTGGATTTGTAAGGTCATTATTCATTTTGAAACATTGTTTCTTGAAATGGAATTTAACTCTTTTTTCAGGAATAATGTCCCAGAGAATATTGACCCACATGGCTCAGTGGGTTCATCCCAAAGATGATGAAACCAATGTGACAATAGCTACATTCCACCTGATCACTATTACATTAATCAGCATGTCCCTAGTTGACTTAACATGGTTCACCATTTCTGGAGATGTCTGTGTTCCTTACCTCACTTTAGGACAATTTTTCTGGTTTGGATTATCACATAACAATGACATTGACTATACTAGTAAGATATATGAGGAATGATTTACAATTCCTGCAGTTTTGTGTTTCAGATTATGATTGTATTAGTGCTGAAATTGTTAATATGATGAGAATCATGATCTTGTTCTGCTTCATGACAATTATATTTGCACTTATTGGATTTTTTCTTGAAATATGTGGTCCAAGGAATATTGTTTATCAATCTCTGAGGAAATATGCTGTAATGGGAACTTGTACAGGTGAAAATTATACCTTTACTACATTTTGATGAATCCTAAATCATTTGTTTCAGTAATTTTCATCCTGACAATCATTGGATTTTCCTATTACACAATAATTTTGTTAGAAGAGTCTCTGAACAAGTATTATCCAAAATATGAAACCAGTGTCAGTTATGGGATTGGCTTTTATCTATTGGGAGCATCAGGTAAGTAAACAATGCCTACATTCCTTACAGTATCAAGTTTTCCAGTGATATGCTCTAAAATGTCAACAAAGGTATTGAATGATGTATGCAATTTTTTTCACAGGTGTTTTCACTTCCTGTGGCATAGTTTACAGTCTCATTATTTCATACTACAATTCTCCTTATTTGAGAGATGATGACAGATGTATTTTGGATGCCTTTGATGATGGCCTGGATACTTTCTATAGTCCTACACCTCCACCCCCTTATTCCATACTTCCCCCTCCTTATACGCCTTGATTGGACAGAACAAAGAATATCATGTGTTGAAAACCAAAGTTTATTAAGAATAGTTATAGTGCCCTGCTATCTTCCAAGGTCATAGCCATCATTAAACTGTTGTAAAACAACAGGTAAAATTAACAAGTTCAGATGCAATGATGATTATTATCTGTTGAAATCATATCTTTTTACTTTTTTTCATTACTTATTCCTGGCGAGAAAACAGCAGAAAATACCATTAGAAAATTTCTCAATGATCCAAGAAAAATTCCTATAGTACAGGAATAGATAAAGAATATTCAGGTTGATCGGGCTCTAATTATATTTCATTGTTGTAAAGTTTACAAAATAGTTTGGGTTACATGAAACATCATGTTTATCAGACTGAATCTGTTTCAGTCCACAATTATTCAAATTATGTAACCCTTGTGTTCTATAGAATTCTTTTCAATACACAAAATACTATTGACCAATTGATCATGTAATTTATTATGAGGTGTATTTTTTTTAAATTGACAATGTCAACATGAGGCTGCTTTCACATGCATGCGTTTTCACGGATCCGTTGGATCATGTGATGAATATTGACCAATAGAAATCGACTCGGATGAATCAGCAATCGCAACATACCCAGTCGGCTCAACATCAAGTTTCCTCTATTTAATTTGTCCGTGATGAGAAGAAAGCTAGGTTAAGATCGCCGTTTCACTGCCTACTTCTGAAACTTTTGTCTAGATGGCGGTGAGATGGCCGTTTGCACTAAAATATGAGAATTTTCAAGACGGTAGTGCGCCACGATATACCCCTAGTACGTATTCGTAGTTTCCTTCTTTCTAGTCAGTTCGGGCAAGTCCTCCATAGGTGTCGGAATACTAGCATCGAATCGGAATAGAATTGATCGATCAATCATAGAATATAAAAATAACACAGTTTATATTCTTAGGTTCAAATATGAATATAGTTTATATTCTTGGGTTCAAATATGGAGTGAAATTCTGGATGTGTGCTTGCTCTTACCGTCCGCGCAAAATATGTAGTATTTATAGGTCTCGATCTCGATCCAGATAATGGCTGACCTGACTTTGTTTACTATGTTTATGTTTACATCGCGAAGCGTAGAACCAAAGAGTAGGGGATGGTAGAACCAGAACCGAGCCGTCACGATTATCATTGTCAGAGATAAATCATGAGGGCTTTGGCAGAACGCGGGAATTTCGCACTGAATTGTTATCTACGAGAATAGTTGGAAACTCAATAGGTATCAAGTGATATCAATATCAAGCATTTCATTCAAAGCAAAAATGTTACATGTGGTCTTTTTTTACAAGCATCATCAAATCTTGCAAGTTAAATTTGACGCACTTTCTGATCGTCCGATTGATTAAAAACTTGGCAGGTGGACATGATTTTGGTGACAATGCATTATGAAATAATTAGGTTTTCGGGGTCGGAGATTATGATTCTCTTGTCAAAATTGAAAAATTCAAGATGGCGGCTCCATGGCGGACTGGTTTTGTGCTTATGATCTGATTCGATTAAAAATTAGTAGGTATCTGGGGGTTTTCGGGGTCGGAGATCATGATTCTTTTGTCAAAAATGGAAAAAATCAAAATGGTGGCAAAATAGTGTAGGTACGAGTTTTGTGATTATGGACCGATTGTATTCAAAATTGGTATCTGGTGGTTTACGGAGTCAGAGATTATGATTCTCTTGTCAAAATTAGAAAATTCAACATGACGGCTCCAAAATGGCGGACGAGTTTATTGTGATTATGGTCCGATTCTATCAAAAATTTGTAGGTATCTACGTATCTATATAGGCTTTTCGGATTCGGAGATTATGATTTTCTGTCAATATAAAAAAATTCAACATGGCGGAATAGTTTTGTGATTATGGTACGATTCTATTCAAAATTTGTATTTGTGGGTTTTCGGGGTCGGAGATTATGATGTTTTGTCAAAATTCAAAAATTCAACATGGCGGCTGAAAAATGGCGGAAGAGTTTTTTTGGTAATGGGCCCATTCTATTCGGTATCTTGGTGTTTTCGGAGTCAGAAATTATGATTTTTTGTCAAAATTCAAAAATTCAACATGTCGGCTCAAAAATGGCGGAAGAGTTTTTTGGTAATGGGCCCATTCTATTCGGTATCTTGGTGTTTTCGGAGTCAGAGATTATGATTTTTTGTCAAAATTCAAAAATTCAACATGGCGGCTCAAAAATGGCGGAAGAGTTTTTTTTGATAATGGGACCATTCTATTCGGTATCTGATTGTTTTCGCAGTCGGAGATTATATTTTATTGTCAAAATTCAAAAATTCAACATGACTGCTCCAAAATGGCGGAGCAGAGTGGTTTTCGGAGTCGGAGATTACCTATGATTTTTTGTCAAAATTTAAAAATTCAACATGGCGGCTCAAAAATGGCGGAACAGTTTTGTGATTATGACTATTCAAAATTTGTTTTTGGGGGTTTTCGGAATCGGAGATTATAATTTTTTGTCAAAGTTCGAAAATTCAACATGGCGGCTCCAAATAAGTGGCGGACAAGTTTTGTGATTATGGTCCAATTCTATTCAAAATTGTTATGTATATATGTGGAGGGTTTTGGGGTCGGAGATTTTTTTTTTTAGTTTCACTTGTCCTAGTGTCTTGTATGTTGCATGAATAAACAAGTTGAATGAATAAACAAAAAAAAAATCAAAACAAGCTTTTATTTGTTGTTACTAAAGGAAGAACTGGAAACTGGCGCGATGTCCTGTCGCTGCTTATACAGGGTGTTCATTATTGTTGCACGAAATTTCGAGGTCAGATTTGTTGAGTCGAAATATAAATAGAGTTATACTAGCTTAATTCTCGAGGAAAAAAATGGAAACCAAACCTATGCATGGCTGTTGAGAGAGAAAAATACTCTAGAAATCAATCGGATAATTATGGCAAAACAAGAACCCACTTATCGTAAATGAAATCGGTTGAAGTTCAGAAAAAAATTGTACACCCTGTAGGTACCTATCTCGGAACGAATCATTTCCAGAAATTATATTCATACGAACTTTGTTCATATTTTGGCCCATAAAATCTGATCTTGAAGTTTCATCCAACAATAATGACACACCCTGTATAGACATTGCAGAAGGCAGAACCGACCGTACGATCAGCGGCTCCGATCGAATGGGAAGAAACAAAAGGATTGCACCTATACCTACTGCGTTGGAGGCCGCAGAGTCGTGACTGGAATTTGAATAATTTCAAATTTCATAATAATAATAATACTAATAATTTATTCACCTAAGTAAAGAAAATACACAATGGGTATCAAGGGTATATACATAAATAACAAGTGAATAAATAGGTATCCACAAAGGGATGAAGTCCTGTACGTGGATGGTATGAACATAATATAATATATGCGCGGTAAGTAAAATAAACATTCTATCGATAAACAAAAAAAGTATAATGAACAATACACATATACATATAAAGGTGACTTTCAGTTCAAATCATCGACCGATAATACTTTTTCTTACGACCATCTATGAAAACAGCGGATAGGTACCTATTACCACACTGTTATGTTATTTGGAAAGTAGCACATTTCAATATTGTAACAGAGAATTGTAAAGTAAAACGCATTAGTGTGGAAATGTTTTACAAACGCACGCTCGCAGTGAGTTGATGAATATAATGTAATTTCAAGTTTTTTATATGATTATTAGCGCTCCCCTCGCGTTGACTCTGGGCACTGACCTGTAGCCGAAAGCACCCGCACCTCCCAATAACGAATAACGATCCCCATGCCCCATAGAAATAGAAATAAACATTTTGTTTGTCTCTGTCTTGCGAATATATCTGTCCTTGCCTCCAGTTCCTGGTCTTAGGAGAGCGAGGTAGTCTAGCAACAACGATGTTCAAACTCTGTTTTGAACCAGTGTTGCAAAGGATATAAAATTTTAGTTGAATCCACTGCAAAACAGTAGTTACAAATAATGATTGATTTATATCTTATTGACAATTCTTGCTCTATTGCTAAACCACAGGATCAATTATTTTACCCCAATTGTATGTACCTATACAAGAATATAGTCACTCGCTATTTTGACCTTTCCCATTCGCTACTTCATAATGGGTGCTACCTATGAAAAAAGTTGAAGGAAAAAGCCGTAAGCTTTTAGTTTGATACAAAAAACCAAAAATTGTTCTCACAGGTGGGATATGTGACTTTGTTGAGAAAGTGAAGTGTCAGAATTCAAACGAGTAAATAAAAGTATAGGTAGGTAGGTACCTTACCTACATTGTCATAAGGGCTGCCCGATATTGGATTTCAGTTATCGATTATCAACAAGTGTGTTATCGATAAGTATATACAGGCTGTTTCAAATTATATTATATATATGCATGAATATCTTAGATACTGTTACTGGCAAAGTTACGCAATCAGAATACCGACAAGACAAAAAAATCCGCCTATTTCAGGAGATATACATCAGGATAATGCGAAAAAATGAAATTTGGTTTTTATTTTTCCCTGACTTCATTCAGCGACAAAAAGAAAAAAATATTCAACATTGTCATGGTAATTTTTTAATTTCATAATTTTTTGTTGCCTGTTTTGATTTGACCCTAAATCACGTTTCACAGTGTTGAGGAAGATAAAATTTCATTCTGAATACGTATTTATGCCTATTTTTGACACTCTAATTCAGTGACGGCTCGTCAGGGACGGCAGGGTCGGCCGGGCCGTACCAAATAATTTGGGGAAAATTACTGAACTATTTGATGAATAAAATTATTTTCCGAAACTGTTTTCATAATTCATCGCTCATTATCCTACTGTTATGCCACTATTATTTGAATTTCATTCATGGAACCTTTGAGTATGCCATCCGCATATACACCGAAAATCACGAACTAATTCAGGACCTACGACATCTGGTAATCCCATCGTCAAAACGCCGCTTTCAGTTGAACGGCTCGCGTAGCTCATTACACTGATGCAGACGGCCGGCCGATCGGTGATTTCTTGTCTCGACGCATCGCCACAGGCATCGCCTACAGATTCCCCGCTTCAAGTTTAAATTTTCGCTTATACGCGTCATACCTTGGGTGCGGCCAAGCTCTGCTGGCCGTCCAACGTATCGATCGTACTTTTCAGTATTAGTTGTTTGCAGTGCGCTCGCTGTGAACCGTATCGAACCATTCCGACCTAATTTTTAATATTGGCATGATTGACATTCTATTTTCATTTTACATTGTAGGTATTTGAGGTAAATGAGATATCTGAAAACGCCTTTTCATACTAAAAAAAAAACATACTCGGGGTACTTTCAATATCGAAATCCAAGTGTTTACTTACTTTATTGCTTTCACATTCTGGAATTCACCTGCGTTGAAGCGATTATCATTTTTGATGAATTCCAACAATAATAGTCCAACTTGAAACTTGACTCAAATGTAAACAATGTCACAAATATAATGAGTTCTGAGGTCACGATTCTACGGACCAAACAAAGCGTTTCGGTTTCCATTTGAATTTATTTCAAATACGAAAAATTTTAAAATTTCCTTTTAGGCTCAAACGTAGGTAATATCATATAAAAAACGCGGAACGACGCGATCGCCATCTGTTGGTTTTATGTGAATACAACATCTCATGAAATTTCAGTTAGCAGTGCCGAAGTTGCAAGATTACAGAAT